TGATGATGGTGGTGGTGATGATGGTGGTAATGATGGTGATGGTTATGGTGGTGATGATGGTGGTGATGATGATGATGGTGGTGGTGGTGATGATGGTGGTGGTGATGATGGTGGTAATGATGATGATGGGCCCGCACTGGAATTCATGTAAAACTAAACTTGGCAACTCCGGGAGTGAGATCGCTCTGTCCCAGGGTTGGCACAGCCGGGCGCAGGCGGCAATGAGCTTATCCACCGAGTCAGCTGGACAAACCCTAGGACATTGATCCGACCTATTTTTGATGGTCATTTATAGGTTGTTTCAGGTTGTTATTTGTTTATCTCTGCCGGTACAAGGGAGGTATCTCAGGCACAAGCCCCTTGACTCATGAGCTCTGTGCTGGGTCATTCATTCCCTGGGAATGGGAAAGGGGGTCCCAGAGGGGCTGCCAGGGGAACTAACCCCTCCATACCAGAGAGCATTGCCTGCCTGGGTCTCGGTGCCAGAAGCTGCTCTGGCCTGGCCGCCTCCCTGCCTCTCAGCCAGGTGAGCTCCTCTCCTCCTGCTCTCCAGCGGCTTTTCCTGCAACACCAGACTCTGCTGCTCTTCGGTCCAGGCATGTGCTCCCGAAGCAGGCTCCCCAGGGGCCTCCTCGGATTCGTGCATCCCGGCCCCAGGGCCCCATGTGCAGAACCCACCCTGCCCTGCTCAGAAGACTTTTCCCACCACAGAGCTGCTGCGGGGTGTCTATCGCTCTGTCCCAGGGTTGGCACAGCCGGGGGCAGGCGGCAATGAGCGTATCCACCGAGTCAGCTGGACAAACCCTAGGACATTGATCCGACCTATTTTGATGGTCATTTATAGGTTGTTTCAGGTTGTTGTTTGTTTATTTCTGCCGTTACAAGGGAGGTATCTCAGGCACGAGCCCCTTGACTCATGAGCTCTGTGCTGGGTCATTCATTCCCTGGGAATGGGAAAGGGGGTCCCAGAGGGGCTGCCAGGGGAACTAACCCCTCCATACCAGAGAGCATTGCCTGCCCGGGTCTCGGTGCCAGAAGCTGCTCTGGCCTGGCCGCCTCCCTGCCTCTCAGCCAGGTGAGCTCCTCTCCTCCTGCTCTCCAGCGGCTTTTCCTGCAACACCAGACTCTGCTGCTCTTCGGTCCAGGCATGTGCTCCCGAAGCAGGCTCCCCAGGGGCCTCCTCGGATTCGTGCATCCCGGCCCCAGGGCCCCATGTGCAGAACCCACCCTGCCCTGCTCAGAAGACTTTTCCCACCACAGAGCTGCTGCGGGGTGTCTGTAACTTTAAGGACAGAGCAATGCAAAGCATTTGGGGAAGCATGTAAATTCCCCCGAGTCTGTCACCTCCACCCATTTCAGTTAATATTACAGCGCAGTCCCGTGCCTGGCCAAAATAAAACGCCACCACTTTTCTCAGTCATGAGAGTCACGGGAAAGGGGACAGGAGCCTCCAGCAGACCCAGCAGTGCTGGGAGGTCTGGTCGCGGCCAGGGTCAGGGGCTCGGGCACAGCTCCTCCGTCCTTGGGAAAGTGCGGGCTGCTTCCTGGACACCTGAGTAAATTGCCTGTGGGTGGGACTGTCCACTAGCTGAGGGCCTTTCTGTGACCCCATGACCTGGCCAGGGAGCAGAGCTCTCAGGTCCTCTTCATGCTGGAAGAGGGTGAGGTGGTGCCCTCTGCCCTCTGACCCCAGTCTGACCTGTGCACCCCCGCAACTGCCTGCTTGCTCACTGGCTGTCTCGTCTGCCCTCAGGTACATGATCACCAGCCTGGACCGCACCCATGCTGGCTTCTACCGCTGCATCGTGCGCAACCGGATGGGTGCCCTGCTGCAGAGGCAAACCGAGGTGCAGGTGGCCTGTGAGTACCGGGGTGACGCGGGGCAGGGCAGGCGTGCAGCGGGAGAGGGGTCCCCACCCACAACACACTCCCTCTGTGCTCATTGGCGCTCACGGGCCAGTACTCTAGTTCTGCAGCTGATGGCACCGAGGCCTGGGGAGGTGGCGGCACCTCGCAAGGCCACGCGGCTGATAAATGACACACACGTCTGCTGGCTCTGAGCTCAGCACTCTTCAAAGAGGACCTGCTGCTTTGTTTTTTCATTTCTTTTTTAAATATATTTTTATTGATTTCAGAGAGGAAAGGAGAGGGAGAGAGGGAGAAATAGAAACCTCAGTGATGAGAGAGCCTCATTGATCGGCTGCCTCCTGCACGCCCTCTAATGGGGATCGAGCCTACTACCCAGGCATGTGCCCTTGACTGGAATCTAACCCAGAAACCTTCAGTGCACAGGCTGATTCTGTCCTGACTGAGAATCAAACCGTGACCTCCTGGTTCATAGGTCAATGCTCAACCACTGAGCCACACCCTCTCTCCCCCCTTCCTCCCTCCCTTCCACTCTCTCTAGAAATCAGTAGAAAAAATATCCTTGGGTGAGGATTAACAAAATAAAAATTAGAAAGTAACCCCTCATCCAGAGCCCACGGGCTTGCCTCAGACCTAGCACAGGAGAGAGCTTCCCGCTTGGAGAGAAGTGGGAGAGAAGCTAATAGGAAACCTCGAGTGAGGCAAAGATGTTTATAATAATTATGGAAAACAGCCATAACCAGGAGTGGAGGACAGCCTGTCCCCATAAATCAGCACTAAAGGCAACCCGACTCTCCGAGGAGCAGAAAAGCCCTGAATTCAAATGATGGACAGGGCCGCCGTCGGGTGGCTGGCGGACTCCCTGGAGCTTCATGTAGCGGTGCCCAGTCCAGCAGGGAAGGGGCAGCTGTGGGGCAGCCTCCAGGGAGACTGCACTTGCGTGTGTGCGTACACGTGTGTGCAAGTGTAGGTGCACCAGTGTGGGTTCGTGCACGCATATGTGCAGATGTGTGTGTCTGAATTCGTCTGTCTCTTTGTCCCCCTGTGTGTGGGAGAGAACGTGTGTGTGAGTGTATGCACATATGCATGTCCGTGCATGTGTGCATGTGCATGTGCAGATGTGCATGGCTGGATACGTCTGCCTCTTTGTCCCCTGTGTGTGAGAGAGGACATGTGTGTGAGTGTGTGCACATGTGTGTAAGTGCATGCATGTGTGTGTGCAGATGTGCATGGCTGGATACGTCTGCCTCTTTGCTCACCTACGTGTTGGTAAGAACATGTGTGTGTGCGTGCGTGGAGTTGGAAATGCCATCCAGGACGCGAGTGGTCCAGCTGTGTCTGCCTCTTTTCTCACCTACGTGTTGGTGAGAACGTGTGTGTGTGTGTGTGTGTGTGTGTAGTTGGAAATGCCATCCAGGACGCGAGTGGTCCAGCTGTCGTGGGGCGTGTCTGTTCCGAGCCCGTGGTGCATAGAGACAGTAGGAACTTTCTGGAGTTGCGAGCCCTCGGATGACAGTCTCCCCTGGGCAGGCTGCGCTGGTCAAATGAGAAGGAAGGGCCCTGGCCGGGTGGCCCAGTTGGTTGGAGCATCATCCGTGCACCAAAACGTTGCAGGTTTCATTCCTGGTCGTCGGGTGCGCACGGGAGGCAACCGATTGATGTCTCTCTCTCTCTTTCCCTTCCTCTCTCTCTAAAATCAATCTTTTAAAAACACACTTAAAAAGAGTGAGAGAGAAAGGAAGGGAACCCAGCGTCCCCGTGACTGAGACACTTCCTCCTTGGCCATGATAGGGACCCAGAGCCCAGGACTCAGCCCACTGACACCCTCTCCTCCCTCCCCCGCCCCCCGACAATACACATACTCCTCACACACATGCACCCAGCATGAGGATGCTCCCTCGACACCAGGCCACACACCTGCGTGGGCCCTGCCCCAGGCCCACAGGGGTCCTCGGGCCCCCAAGCCGAGGGGTGGCTTGTGACCAGGCCCAGGGGCAGAGCAAGCACAGTGCACTGGTGGCGGCAGAGGCCTTCGGGGAGGACCAGGTGCTGTAAGGAGGCTCGGACCACCCTGGGCTCCCAGCCTGGAGACTCAGGGCCCAGCAGCTTTCTCCTCTCTGCAGGGCCCACCGTCCCTCATCTGTCTACCATCCTGGGTACATTCCTAGCCACCCCTCTGCCCTCCGGGCTGGGTGAGGGCGAGACAAGTGAGGCTTGGAGGATGCAAAATTTAAGGAGGGCTCCCTCTCAGGTCCTCACCGTGCACTTACAGGAGCCCTAGAGCAGGTGCCTCCTTAAATCTTTCACCTCATTCACGCTATCCCAATCCTGGGCCCTACAGTCAGTCATCCTGCATCTGTCTGTCTGTCCGTCTGTCCGTCTGTCTCTCTTACCCGGTCACATGGCTCTGGGGATGGGTGGGGATGGCTGGTTCTCCAAGTCCCTGCATCTCTCCTCAGCAGCGTCCACCTCCCGGGGTGGGAGGGCTCTGTCCTGGACGCCAGATGACCCCTGTCCTTGGGGACGCCTTCCTTCCAGGGATCAGCCAGGCAGGCCCCGCCCCTGGCTCCACCCCCTCCCCAAAGAGAGACTGTGAATTGGGTTCTAATTGAGAAATTAATAAGGCAGCTGTGCTAACAACTAATGATAATAGCAAAGTCATTACAGAAGGGTTCTTTACATGTTTTTAATTACAGCAATTAAGGGGAAGTCAATAAAACACCCACCCCTCCCCAGCTCCCTTCCTGTCCCCATGGGGCGTCTCTCCTTGGTTTTTTTAAAGTCACCGCAAGTTTCTGGCAGGTGACAAGCGGGCTGAGTGGCTGAGACGGTGGGGAGCGTCCTGAGCCGACAGCTGCCCTCCCACCACCAGTCTCCACGTCCAGACCCTGTGGGCACCTGTGTTCTCCTCACCTGGGCAGCTTCCCCGCCCCCGTTGGCTGGCTTTGGGCGCAGACTTGGAGCCCCAGCACCGACCTGCCCTCACTCTGCAGGGCACAGGGGCCCTGCCCCATGGGGAGCCAGCCTGCTCCCCGTTACCCTGGGGGCTCAGTCTCCTCTACAAAACGGGACTTGAGGGCATCGAGCCTGTTGTCACGTGGCCTGGGCTTGATGCCCAGAATGTCACCCATGGGCTCGCTGCTTTTAATCCTCAGCCTGAGTGTGTGAGTGTGGAAACGTAGGGGCCGTGCCGTGGTTCAGGATAGCATCGTTGTGTGCTTCCGGAGCCCCCATTTTACCGGAATGTTTATGAAACAACGGTGGCTGCCCGCCTACGGCGCACCGAGCCCTGCTCTAGGCAGGGACGACATAGGAACAAAAACAAAACACTCATGCCCTAGCCGGTTTGGCTCCGTGGATAGAGCATCAGCCTGCAGACCAAAGGGTCCCGGGCTCGATTCCAGTCAAAGGCACGTACCGTGGCTGCAGGCTCCTCCCTACCTGGGCCCTGGTAAGGGTGTGTGCCATAGACAATCAATCGATGTGTTTCTCTCATATCGATATTTCTATCTGTCTTTCCCTCTCTCTTCCACTCTCTCTAAAAATCAATGGAAAAATATCCTCCGGTGAGGATTAAACACACACACACACACACACACACACACACACACACACAAACAAACAAGACATTCATCCCTGCCCTCAAGGAAAGTAGTAGGGACAACATAAAAGGACAATATAGAATAGACTAGAGACTATAGACGGCCCATGAAGAAAAATAAAATGTTATAAGGAAAAAGGAAGCCAGGTGAGATGGGTGGAGGCTGGGACAGGGGTCCTATTTGAAATGGTGTCTGAGGAGGTGACATTGAGCACAGTCTGGAAGGAAGGAAGGAGGTGAGCCACACAGACCGAGAGATGGGTCTTTCCAGGCCAGGGAACAGCAAGTGCAAAGGCCCTGGGGTAGATTTGAGTGTCTGAGGCCAGGGTGGCTGGAGCAGAGTGTGGGACGTGGAGAGTCAAAGATGTGGCTGAGGAAGTGAGGTGCTGGGGACAGATGGTGGCATGCTAAGATGTGGTTGGTACTTTGGCTGTTACTCAGAATAGTGGTTGGGGGCAGTGGCACGATACCATCTGATTAGACGGAGCAGCATTGTTTTATAATAAACAAATAAAACCACTATGAAATGCCACCTCATGCCCACCAGATTGGCCAAACCCAAGGAGTCTAGAAGACCAAGCATTGGCAGTAGCTCCCATCTGCGCTGATGGCAGCGTGAATAGGAAAATTGGTGCCGATTTGGAAAGCAGTTTGGCATTATCTTGTAAAATTACCACGTGCACAGCCTGCAAGCCAGCAGTGCACCTTTAGGCTCATACTCTGGGGACTCTCTTAGCTGCAGGAGATGGTTCTTAGCAGGCCAGCCAGCCACGGACACCAGCCCAACCTGCAGCGGCGCTGTGCTGCCTCCATCCACGGCATCCAGGCAGCCGTGAAAACGACTAAGCTAGGTGCAGGGACGTCGATGGGGCTCCAAAAATATGTTGCACAACAAAGCGAGTCACAGTAGACGACACAGCATGCTCTCAGGTACAAAGGGCTTAGCAACCGACTAAATTAGCCATAATTGTTTACGGAGGTGTCTAAAGGTGGTGAAACTTGGGGGGTGGAGGGCGATGCATGATTGACAAACCTCTGGAGAGGGAGGGCATGTGCCTGGGAGGGGCGCAGCGGGGCAGGACGAGGTTTGTCAGAGTTCCGGTCCAGAGCTGGGTGCTGGGTACACGAGTGTTTGTTCTGTTCTCCTTTAAATGATGCCTATAATTATATTCGCTCTTTTGTGTGTAATGACATATTTCATGGTAAGAACGGCTTTAAGAATAAATAAAAGCGATGAGTAGATTCTGAAGCAGAAAGCCTCCTTCCCAGACCTTTTCAGCTGCAACAAAGACATCAGGGAGCATTGGGAGGCCGCCTCCAGCTGCACCCAGGCCCGCGCTGCTGGCTCCGGGGATTGGTGGGGGCAGTTGGATCAGCGCTGCAGGGCACGCAGGTGTATTAGCCGCGAGTGCAGGAGAGGAGGTGCAGCAGCCCCTGTGTCTACCTCAGTGCCAGGAGCTCTCCCAGGGGACCCGGACCCGGCCCTGGGGCGGTGGCCCTCTCTCCTCTCCTTCCTCCTGCACGGCTGCCTGAGTGACTCCCTCCTGGCTGCCCTGCTGCTGCTGGTCAGTCCGTGCCTGGCTGTGCCTGGGCCCAAGCGCTGAGGCACAGGCTCCTGGCAGACCAGGAAGCCCATCTGACAGAGTGAAGTGGGGAGGGTGGGAGGGTAGGGGCCTGAGAGCCACGGGGAGGCAGGGGGACTATGGGACGGAAAGGTGCAGGGCAGTGTCAACTGCAGAACTTGGACCTAGGCCAGCCGTGCCCTTCCTTCATCCATCCACCATACATCTACACATGCATACATACAAACACACATGCATGCACATGCATATACATACATCCTACCATACAAACTTACACATACATTCAGATGTACATACATGCAGACAATTTTCCATGCCTCCATCCCTCACTCCTCCTCCCGTCCATCCATCCACCCTTCCTCTATCCATCCATCCATCCATCCATCCATCATTTATCCATCCACTGAACAGACCCATGCCCCTGCCCTACTGGCCTTCTTTCATTTCCTCTCACTGGCCCTTCTCTCCGACCTCCTAGCCTTCACATCCTCCCTTCCCCCCGGACCATCAGCCCCCCCAACAACTCACACACACACACACACACACACACAGCTAACTCCTGCTCCTTATGCATGTCTCTCCATGAAGGGAGCCTCTCCCACCTCCATCTACAGGAGGTTCCCTCTGCTGCCTCGCAGGCAAGGACCCTGATCTTCTCACAGCCGTCACCTATGTCCCTGAACGTTTGTCTGTGAGTTGGCTTGCTCATCCTGTCTCCCTGGACAGACTCGAAGCTCCCGGAGGCCAGGGCCAGGGTCCTTCAGTGCCACAGAGCCTGCCTGGCCCACGGAGGGGCTCAGTAAGAGCCATGCCTGCTGGCACTGGGTGAGCTTAGAGAGAGCGCGGGGCCAGGTGTCTTGTAGGGGTTCGCTCATGCGTACCACGGAATATAACAGCCTCTTAAAGCTGACACTGTAGTAGGAAGAGATAAAGAATGTGCATGAAGAATGTTAATGCCGGGTGTGAGTCATGAGAGAGGCGGCGAGGGAGCGGGAAGGGGGGCCAGGTTGGAGCGCGGGCCCTGCCCAGCCCTCACCGCTTAGCACCGGATCAGCCACTCCATCTCCATGAGCTTTAATTTCCTCACTGACGAAATGGAGCTAATAAAACTGCAGAGAGGAAAAAGAAACACTATTACCATGAAATTGCTTCAAATTGTTCAAATATATCTTCAGAGTCCTGTGAAAAGTTTTTTAAATAGATAAAATTATTGTAAGAACTGGAATCAAGGTGATTTACTGACACAATTCTTTATAGGCAGAGCCGAGTAATAGCAATTAATCAACAACTAAAAATGTTTGTTTATCAACGTTGAGCTTCTCGTGTTGTCATGACGATTCAGTGAGACAGTGCCGGCCACGCCCACCTGAAAGTGAACCTGGCGCTGGGTCCCTGTTCAACACGTCCTTGTTCTTTGATTCTGGTTGGGTCGTGTGGGGTCATCTTTGTTGAAGAGGTTGATGCTGACACGAAACTTTGAAAAAATATATAGGATTCTATTATTTTAACACTACAAATACAAGGTATCGTGTTTAGCACTTTAACTTACTCTTCCGGTTTCTATGGCTGCATGACCACGTAGGCCAAAGCATGATGGTGTAGCGCGGTCATTTCTTACGCTCAGAGACTCTGGGAGCCTTGACTCTGCACAGAGCAGAGTAGGGGCAGCTTGTCTGTGCTCTGTGATGACTGAGGTTTCAAAGACCAGGGGCGGAGGTTATCTGAGGGCCCACACGCTCACTCACACGTTTGTGTTGACGCTGGCTGTCACCGGGGGCCCTCGGTTCCTTCCCACGTGAGCTGTTCCCATGTCTGTGGGGGCTAGATTGAGCTTCCTTCCAACATGGCGGCTGGACTTCAAGCAGGAGCATCTGGGGGGCAGGGCTGAAGGACAGCCTGGCCTGACTCCAGACTCTGAGGGTCCAAGTTCAAATCCTGCCACTGCCCCTTCCATGGCCACATGACCTGGGACAGAGTCAAACCCTGACTCTGCCCATTTCCGTGGCGTGCCCGGGCTCCCTGAGCCCATGTGGGGAGTATTTCAGTTGCAAAGTGTGTGGAATAACGACCAGACTCTCATGACCGTGGGACCAGTCCGTTGCTTCGTGGGTACGTATGGGTAGAAATGGATGTCAACCCCAAAGGTCCAAGGCAGGGCACGTGATAGAAGGGGCGGTGAGGTCATGAGGGGTGGTCTGAGCGGGGTGTCACCCTGCGCCCTGGTCATCCTGCGGGCATCTCCCCTCCACTGTCACCACTCCCTCCCCCGGAGTGGCCAGTCTCTGCCACCTCCCCAACCCCTGACCCCGCGTGTGCTCTTCCCTCCGCAGACATGGGGAGCTTTGAGGAGGGCGAGAAGCGCCAGAGCGTCTCCCACGGAGAAGCCGCCGTCATCCGCGCCCCCCGCATCGCCAGCTTCCCACGGCCACAGGTGACCTGGTTCCGGGACGGCCGCAAGATCCCGCCCAGCAGCCGCATGTGAGCACCCGGCTCGGGGAGCCACGGAAAAGGGGGCGCCTTGCCCTGGGAGGGAGGTTTGGGGGCGAAAATAAAACCCCAAACACTGAGCGGGGCCCTTTCGCAGCGGCAGCTGCTCACAGCCCTCCTGGGACACAGCAGCCTGGGGACCTCCCACACGACAGCGTGTGGCTTACGAGGGCCTTTCTGGGAATGTGCGTGCGAAGACAGGGAGCAGGAAGCAAGGTCGCCTTCCTGGGGAATCCCGGGCGGGCACTGGCCCCCTTCTCGGCTGGAGTGTAATCCTGCCTCCCAGCGCGCTCACCAAACCCAAACAGGCGCAGGCACAGGCAGAGGCTCCCTAAAAGGCCTGGCCCTGATGGGCGCCGGCCCCTGGGTGTTTCCGGTGTGCGGGGTGCCGGGGGGTCCGTGGCGTGCCCGGGCTCTGTGTGTTTTGGCTGCTGCGAGGAGGTGAGGCCAGGGGCCCAGCAGGGAGAGAACACACGGCTCTTTCAGCCCTAACAAAACCCCTCTGTGTGGCCCACGGCGTCGGTGGTGGCAGCCTGGCTTGTGGGCAGGAACGAAGGAGCCAGCACCTCCACAGAGGGCACGGGCAAGCATTTCCTCCTGGGACACGCCCGGCCCTCTGGACCCCCTGGGGGCCTGGAGCCAGCCAGGCTCTCCCTTCCGGGCTCCCCCTGGCCCCTCTCCCGGGAAAGGAGACGGACACCTTGTCCGGGTCCCCTGGGGCAGGAGCGGTAGGTGGAGCCAGCCTGCCTCTGTAGGAAGCAGGAGCTGAGGTGGACGGTTCTTGCCTTTGGGGACCAGGACATGTAATGAGAGAAGCGTAAGGGTCATCACAGTGGCTGTCATTTAGGGGCCTCCGCTGTGTTTGCAGGCCTGGGTTAACCCTCTGTATGCCATGAGCGTCTAGAGACGCTTTTTAAAAAGTCACTTTTCGTGAGAATTTCCAACTGAAAAACATTCAAGGACCCCCAAATTGTGAGTAATATATTTATTTTTATAACATTCTTTGCAAATTTATTTTTTAAATTAAATTCAAATACCGTGGCGTGTGGGGATGGTCTCCGTTTTGGACGTGTGGCAGTTGACCGATTAAGCACAGTCCATACCTCACCCTCCCCTCTGGGACAGGGGAGCACCTCCAAGGAAGACACCTCTCTCTCCTTCCCTCCTCACTCCCCAGAGGAGTGCACACTCCAGAAACATGTGTGGAATAAATGACGCTCAGGACCACCCTAGGAGGGGGCTAGTTTTATCCCCATTTTACAGATGGCAAAGTCAAGCCCCCAAAGTTTAACGACTTTGCCAGATCTCAGCACAGCGGGTTCCAGGCTTGCAGACTCCAGACTCAGGTCCTTAATTCTGTCTTACGTAGACATTGTGTGAGAAGAGGGTCAAAGATATGGGGACAAAACGGAACAAGTGATTGCCCTTGGAAGGAATTGGTCCTGGTATGGTGATTCTCAACCTGGTGACCTCTTGAAATCATTTGGGACACTTTAACATATACTGATCTTTAGATCCTACACACCCCCCCCCCATTCTGACCTCATTAAATGGGATGTACCCTGGCATCAGGATTTTTAAGTGCTCCCCAGTGATTCCAATATGCAGTTGAGAACCACTGTCCTAGAATGTATCAGTTACCTACAGACATGATAATGCTGTGTAACAAATGGTCCCAGGGGCCTGAAACAAGAAGCGTTTATTTGTCATAATGAATCTGCAGATTGGTGATGGTGGCTGGGCTCTGTCTCTTGGCCGGATTGGCTGGCTATTGACGGATCAGCATGGCCGGGTGACTCATCTGTGCTCCACGTGGCTCACCCTCCAGCCAGCCTATCCTAGCATCCTCCTCTCCTGGCAACTGCGAAGGAGCAGGAGAGAAGCAGAACCAGCTTTTTTTCCAAGTCTCTGCTCACCTCCCATTGGTCAAAGAAAGTCACGTGGCAGAACTCAGACTCACGAAGCAGGGGAACTGACTCTGCCTTTTGGTTGAGAGGACCCAGGACGTCACATGGCAGAGGCTGTGGATGCAGAACTGGGGGGAGAATTAGAGCCAAACCCGTTGCAGGGTAGCAGGGGCCCTCAGGCTGTGTGAGCCAGGTGCCCCCTTAATCCTAGTCACGGTTCAATAAGCCAACAGAGCACGGTCAACCGTTAATGCAGACAGTGAGGTTGAACTGTAGAATGCTGCGTCACACGGGTGCTGAGGCAGGTGGTGAGTCCTCGCCCCTCCCTAACCCCTTTCTGAGGTTATGTCACGTGTCCGAGGCGTATCCGGGGTGGCATCCTGCAAGCCCATCACTTAGTCCTGGCTCCCTGGAATGCCCTGTGGAGAAGGATTCTGAGGACTCGTTCAGACTCAGTGGAAACCCAGGTCCCGTGGGTGCCTGTCCAGACCATGAGAGATTGACAGCACGTGCCGTGGCTGCGGGAGGGGACACGTGGGCCCTTACCTACCACAGGTGCTGTGATAGGTGGAACCCTGTCTGCATCCTCACTCCCATCATCCCTTGCCCGGCACCTTCCCACCTCCTCTTCTCATTCCTCGCCTCTGTCCTCACCCGCCTTTCATCCCCAGCAGCCCGGGCACCAGGGCAGAAGGCCTTAGGGAGCACGCGCAGGCTCCCGCCTTCTCCGCACGCCTTCCGAGCACGATAGCGCACCGGGGTGATGTTATCTCGGCAATTACAGCGGATTAATACTCATAACCGGGAGGAAAGGTTCCTGGTAGGAAATTCTCTGGTGTCTGTTTGCCAGCGATACCTATCTGATGAATGCCGCTGGCCGGAGGGCTGTGCGGGCCAGGGCTGCTCTCTGCCCGGCACAGCGGGTGATCAGCAGCACCTCGCCCATCCCCCGGTGCTCCGCAGACCAGGTTCCTAACAGCCGGTGCTGGGGGCTTTGGGCAGGTTCTGGGATGATTTATTTTATTCTTAATTAAATGATCCATTGGGCCCCCTGGAGCCGGGGAAATAAGCTGACTTAAGAGAAGTAGCAGATGCCGGGTGGGGTGGGGGAACCTGGCAAATTGAAAACCGGAGGAGGATGCCTAAAAATAGAACCCAGCCCCCCCCACACCCCAACGGAGAGCTGAGCCCTGCCAGCCAAGCCCCAGAAAACTCCGGGCTTCTTTCAGCATGGGTGCATGGGGGTGGGGGGTGGGGGGTGGAGCGAGTGCCAGAACAGCTTTGTGCACTTGGAAAGTGAGGTCCAGGGTAGTTCCAGAACCATCTATGGAGCGGCCGGTCATGTCGAAGCGGGCTGTGAGCCCAGGGACCTTTTTTATTGTCCCCCCCTCCTACTGAGGGCAGAGGGAGGGCAGGGCAAAGGTCATTATCACTTCCCAGTCTCTGTGCCTCCTGTTCCACTCCACAGCCAGAACTCAAACCCAGGCCTGTGGCTGCTGGTCCAGGCAGCTTCCCTCTGGTGCTGGTTCAGGCACCGCTAGCTGCAGTAACAGACAGACCCCTGAACCATAGATGTTTATTTAGTAAAAGCCCACCACAGGCGAGGGGTGGGAGGGGTGCTCCTCTCCAGTCACTGGGGGACCCTGGTTGGTGGGAGTTGTGTCGTCATCGACACTGGGCTTCCCAATTGTTCTGCTCTGACAGGGGAGCACAAGAACATGGGGATCATGCAGGGGATTCTGTGGTTCAAGCTGAGACACCCCACTAGCTCAGCCACATTGCCCCCTCTCTGGATTCCGGGGGGGTGAGGGGTTGAGAAGGGCGGCCCCTGACTTCTCAGTGGCTACCTGTGGAGGGGGCACCTGAAATTGAAGTGGGCAGCGACCGTATCTGCCACCTCGGATGCCACCCCACCTAGGACAGGGCATCTCAGCCACGACACAATGGACATTTGGGGCCCAACAAATTCCCGTTGTGCGGTGCACCGTGGACTAGCAGCACCCTGACCTCTGCCACAGGTGCTGGTCACAGCCCCACAGCTGTGGCAGCCAGATGTTGTTCCGACGCTGCCCGGGGTCGCCTAGAGGGCAGAGCCACTCCTGGTGGAGAACCACGGGCCTAGAAGGATGGGTCATGATATAGACAAAGTGTAGCTAAAGGGAGAGAAGCGGGGGGGTGAGGGGGGGCGGCTTCCTGGTCAAGGAGAATGAACTGGAGGCGGAACTTCCTTCCCTGGACGCCAACAGGGGGCTCCCGACAGGCAGGTGAGCGGGACCGTGGGACCAGCGCCCGGTGCGCCCTCCCGCCCCAGGCTTCCTTCCACCCGCTCCCGTGGCAGTGGGAGTGGCTGGGAGGCTGGAACCCATGTGGTCCAAGCGCATAGCTGCTCATTGGGTCAGTCCTGAGCCTGGACCATGTGCCAGCTGAGGGCTGTGAGAGGGAGGGGGATGCCTCGGACCAAATGGACACAGAGCAGAAGCAGGGACCGGAATCAGAACCCCCGCCCTCGGGGCTGGAAGGAACCCTCAGGAACAGGTGCTGCCACCCCTTGCTCAGATGGGGAAACTGAGGCCCAGCGAGGAGGGGGTTGCGTGCTCCTCAGGGGCTGGGCCAGAGCTCCGTTCCTGAGCTCACCCCTTGCCCCGGCCAGAGCCCAGCCTCCCTCCCCCAACCCTCGCCCACCCACAGGCTCCACTGAAGGGAGTCCCAGGTGGGGAAATGGTCGCCATCCCCGCCCGTTTTTGTTGCTTTTTAAGTATTTTAGCCTCACTCTGTCCCACCTCCCATCACCGCATTAGCTGGAGGTTATAAGCGCTCGCAGAAAAACAGACAGGGGCAGCATTAGGGCGCCCAAGAATTGGGGCAGGAGGGCATTGCCTTCCTACTTCCCAGCGCCCTGCTGAGAACTCCCCCAGACTGCACGTGAACCCCCAAATACACGGGAGCGAGGGGGCCCCAGCCAGCCCAGCTGGGAGAGCGGCTGGAGAGGCATTCGCGGGGCTGTTTGTTTGAGAGCTTGTTTAAAACTCTGTAACATTCACCTAATGGGAAAATTTGAAAAGAATTCAACTGGATGTGTCCTTGTTAAACTAACATTAAGGATATTTAACAGCTGTCTCGGGCACATCGCATTAAAATCCGAGATCGACTTGACAAACTAATGGTTCTGTCTGTCACGGGGAGAGTGGGTGAGCGGAGATGACAGCTGAGCGGCGTGGGCAGTGCCCCCGGCACGGCTTCACCCACATCCAACAGGCTCCCCAGCTGCCCGCCCGGACAAGCCCCTTGTCCTGCCTGCAGACCCGGGTGCTGAGGGGCTGTGTGAGGGGGTCCACGCAGAGGGAGCCGGACCGGGAGCCCACAGCCCACATCTGCACCCCACTGCCCGGCCACCACCTTTTTCCCTCTCCACCAGCCCAGCCCATCCACTCCTTTGACCAGCTTTGGGGAGGTGGACACTGGTCCCATGAGGGGGGGCTGGTGGGGGATGTGAACCCAGAAGTCCATGCTCCTGGTGACTTGCGGCTTTTGGATCAACCTAGACAAATTTAGGATGAGGATAAGGCACTGATTCTGGAATGGTCCTGTTCATTTCTAAATTTAACATCATTGCTCATCGTTCATCCATTCATTCATTCATCACTCATTCATCATTCATTCTTCATTCATCATTCATTCATTCATTCATTCATTCTAGGACACTTCTTCAGGTGTCTGGGTGCCCCTGGTGCATCCACAGCACTAACCACCTGCCCACATAGCCATCGATGCTGTGACAGGAAAGGGCAGACGTCCCAGGGACCTTGTGGGCACAGCCCGCAGCCCAGGCGTGGGGTGGGGACAGGGAGCCTCCCGTGGACGGCGGTCTGGGACTCTGGACACGTGCTGTATTGGGGTCTGGTCCCCAGCGCTGGCAGCGTGTTCTCTACAAAGTGTGGGTGGATTGCAGGCGTACGTGGTTCGGGGAGGGGGGCTGGAGGAGGAGCCCTGGAACCACCAGCTCCTGCCCTCGCTCCATCCCCGGTGCCGAGAGCCCCTCGGGCCCCTGTCAGCCGAGTCCTGTTCCCTTCCCCAGAGCCATCACCCTGGAGAACACCCTGGTCATCCTGTCCACGGTGGCTCCGGACGCCGGCCGCTACTACGTGCAGGCTGTGAACGACAAGAATGGGGACAACAAGACCAGCCAGCCCATCACTCTCGCCGTGGAGAGTAAGTACACAGCGGGCCTGGGGCGGGTGGCAGAGCTGACATTAAGTCTAGGGAATGGCGCTCGGGAGGGTCATGGGAAAGATGGAATGGATGGTGCTGGAGGGGGAAACTCAGCCGGGGGTCGAGTGCCAGAAGCAGGCAAGGAGGGGGCTGCGTTGGGAACCCCATTCCCATGACAAGTCTGAGACCCTGCCTCAGGAGAGGGGACGCCGGGCTTGGCGGTCAGCAGGGCCCTGGAGGCTGGGAGGCCGCGGGGTGGAGGGGAGGGTTACATTCGTGGACTGCGCCACCCTGGGCTCAGGTGCAGACAGGGAGAGCGGCCAGGAGGCGGGGAGCTCCTCTTTAAACAAATACACTAACCGCCTGTGCTCAGCTGGCACGTACAGGTGCAGCTTATACCCGGAGCCAGGCCGTCCTCGCTGCGGGGACACAGCTGCCGGCCACACTCCTGTCTGGAAGCACCTCGTCACCCGTCCCCAGAGTCCACCCGGTGCCCCGGAACAGAGAGGGTCAGCCCTCCCCGGGGCAGCAGAGGGTAGCAATTAAAAGGGTGTCTCCTTGAGCTTCCTTTGGCAAAGAGGCGTGTACTCCGAGCCAGCGATCTCCGAGCCAGTGTACTCCGAGATGGAGATGCTGGGATGTGCTCCCAGCCCGGCTGGCCCACCTCCCTCCCGGCCCCATCCCTGGGATCGAGGAGGTGCGGGGCCACCCTGCAGCCCCCCCCCACCCCCCCTCGAGATGCTGGGATGTGCTCCCAGCCTGGCTGGCCCCCTCCCTCCCAGCCCCATCCCTGGGATCGAGGAGGTGGGGGCCACCCTGCAGCCCCCCCCGAGCCAGGAACCACAGCATGTGCGGGATGAGGCCAGAGCTTCCCGCAGCAGCTGAGCAACCACGCAAGCTGGGGAGCCAGATGTTCCCGCCTCTGCACATCTGTCCCACCCCCGCTCCAAACCCAAGTCTCATTTATCATCGCGGTGCCTCTGGGACGCACCCGCCAGCAGCAAGAAGAGGGTACGGGCAGCAGGGGCCTTCCCGTGTCCTTCCTCTGACCCCAGCCTCTGTCTGTTCCTGGGCCTTCTGAGCGCCCGCAACCCGCTCCCCCATTTCTGCAGTTCTCTCTCCTGCGCCCCAGGTTCCAGTCTGCCTAGAGAGAGACCTGGATGCAGGGAGGGGGTTGCATTCTGGGGGCTGGCCTATCTGGGTCATGGTGTAACCTCTGACGTTGACCTGGGGCCAGGGTCACGGTCTAGCAGCCCATGACCTGAGGCTGCTGTTCCTGTGGGGAAAGGAATTTAACCGCCAGAGGGAGATGTTTATCCCCATATGTTTTTCAGTGGTCAGGACACCTAGGGTCCAGGGGCGTCCAGTGATTGGTAGGAAGCAAGGTTCATGGTCCAGGTCAAGGCCAGCCGTCGTCCTGAGTGACACACGCTCCCCTGAGACCAGAGGTCGGAGCCTCCTGTTCCATCCGTGTTCCTCCCCCTGCGCCCAATCTCCTGGCCGACTGCGGATTGTCCCCTCTTTGCTCCATGTTAACGCCCCACGGGAGGCAGGCAGGGCCCCTCTGGACCCCGCGTCCACCGAGCCTCCCCAGCTGTCTGTCTCTCCCACCCCGGCGCCCCTCGCCTCCTGCTCTCAGGCAGTGATTTGTGCCTGGTACCGGATGGGAGCAAAATCAGCTGGTTTTCAGTTAATTTCTCCTCCCACGAGCGACTGTGCCTCAAAACCCTGTGCCTGTCACTGACACACATCCCTGGTGCCTGCTGTCAGCCAGTGTACTCCGAGCAAATGCCTCGTAGCCCGCCACCGCCAGCTCCAGCTCCTCACGTTTATCCCCCCAGGGCCACCCCTCCCTCCGCTCCTCCCCCACCACCCTCTTCCCTCCTCTGCTCCTGCAGCTCAGCTCCTCAGCAGCCCTCCCAGGGATGCCCACACTCTTCGGAAACGAAGGACAGCCAGGCCAGTGGCCCCGGGCGTTGTCCCTGCCCAGGTGTAACCCCGGTGACCTCACACAGCCTGTGACATTGTCACACTCCTGAAAACGTCCATCCCTGGGGGGTGGCCCCACCCCGAAGGATCAGACCTGCACTGCCCAATAGAAATATAATGTGAGCTACATACGTTACTTAATATTTGACAGTAGCCGAACTTTTTAAAAAAGGGATGAGAAATAGGTGAAAAATTAATATTTTATTATATTTTACTTAACCCAACATATCTAAAATAGTACCATGGTAACGGACAATCAATGCTGGAACATATCCATGCGATATTTTAAATTGGTTGTTTTTTTTCATACGGTGTCTTCAAGATTACGTGTGTTTTACCCTTGCCACGCATCTCAATCTGGACACAAATTTTTCACCTGACATACGCTGCCTGGGTTTAGATTTCAGAAAATTTACGGCTGGGGAGGCGGGGCCTTGTGCCAGCTTGCTCCAGGCTTACTTAAAGGGTTCTGGTAACTGATTCGGGGGCCTGTTTTTAATTAAATGCAAATTATTTTAAATTAAATCCCATTAAATCAAAGGGGCACCGGGCACACATTGCCAGAGCTCACAGCCACCTGCGGTCCGTGGCCCCGGGCTGGGTTGGGAGGTCAGTCCCCGGAGGGAAGCAGCTACCCACCCACCCACCACCCCTCAGGTGACCTGTGGCCCAGGTGAGTCACGTGGTCCCTGGGCCTGTTTCCTCGGCTGTAATGGATGCCTGTGGCCCGTGGAGTTGGGGGGATCAAATGAGGTGACTCTGGGAGGCTGGATCTCAGTGGGTGCCTCTCGTTGTGCCTGTGACCAAAATCGTCCTGGGGCGGCAGGATCCAGCTTGGCCGGAGTGGAGGGAGCCCCTCTGCTTCCTCCCGCCCCGAGGCTGTCCACATCAGGAGCTCGCATGAAAGACGCCCCTCCTTTACTCCGGTTCACCCCAGTGTCCCAGGCACATCCCCAGGAGGAAGGACTGTCTGTCGTTTATTGAGCACCTACTATGTGTCAATAGTCTGCACTCACCAGACCAGCTCAGCTCGGGAGCAGATAGGGGTGTTGAACCAGGTCTCCCTGAACCCCAGGCCCCCCTTCTCTGGTCCAGGGTCCCTGGCCACTGCCTGTCCCTCCCTTTGAGCCCTGTAGGCTGCCGCCTGGGCCTGGGCATGAGCTTCAGGGTCCCTGGGGTGGGATGGAGGGTCAATATCTCTCCTCTCCTCTCCCAAAGCCACCAAGCCGGCCTGAGGCCCGGGGGCAGCCTTATATTTTTAAACTCCGAGGGCTCTGCTCCCCCGGCCACACTGTGGGGCACCGCTCGGGCCCCGTCTGTCTCCTCCTCGGGCCCCATCAATCTGGGTACCTGCGCACCCAGATATAATAAACACCTCAGAGTACGCTTTTATGGATTCAGCTATATCAGCAGCCTTCAATCGGATCGCATTTTATGGCCCCTACATAGGCTTTTATATTGTTGCAATTATTTTATTTTATACGCTTCTTTTCTTCCCCCCTTCATTTTACTTTATTTTTGACATTTTATCCCCATTCGACTTGGACCTTTCCCAGCCAGGCCTTGAGCGCAGGCAGGAAGACCTGCCCAGGGCTGACCGGGGGGGGGGGGCCGGGATGGCGGTGGAGCCTCGCGAGCCCTCCCCATCAAGGATGACCAATCTGTCGCTGTCGCCCGGGCTGTGCGTGTCATGGGGCCTGCCACCTCCCAGCCTCCTGGACGGGGGCCAGGGAGATGGGTCGTTTTCTGTGGGAGAAAAGTCCTCGGTTGTATTTTCAGGAGCCCAAGCAGATGTGCAGGGGATATTGGGGTTTCTGCCAATATCGGGGCTACCCTGCCCCACAAAGATTAAGACTCAACCACTTCTTAAAGGAAATGGCACTGCTCTCCAAGGAGGCTTCAGTTTTTTTGGTTTCGTTTGTTTTGTTTTAAATGTTTTTATTGATTTTAGAGAGGAAGGGAGAAGGATAGAAAGAAAGAGATAGAAACATTGATGAGAGAGGACCATCCACATCCATCAGCTGCCCCCTGCACACCCCACACTGGGGATCAAGCCTGCAACCCAGGCATGTGCCCTCGCCGGGAATCAAACCGGTGACCTCTTGGTGCATAGGTCGATGCTCAACCACTGAGCCACGCCGGCAGGGCTGTTTCGTTTTAATGAAGCCCACTCCTGCTCAGTTCTCACCATCAACCCTGGGTTAGTACATCGATAGTTCCATTCACTTGTTCACCTGACAAATGTATTTGAGCACCTACTGTGTGCCAGACAGCATTTCTTGTGCTGGAGATGTGGGAGGGGGGAGGAGTGCAAGACTGTCTGAGTCAGCCCAGGCTCCTGTAACAACCACAGACATGTATACCTCACTGTCTGGAAGGCCAAGATCAGGGCCCCAGCATAGTCAGTTCCCAGGCAGGGCTCTCTTCCTGGCTTGCCGACAGCCGCTTTCTCACTGTGTCCTCACATGGCAGAGAGAGAGAGAGAGAGAGAGAGAGAGAGAGAGACCCTTCCTAGTGACCTCATTGAACCCAGTTTCCTCCTAAGTGGTCCATCTCCAAATACAGTCTCCTGGGGGTTAGGGCTTCAACATGGGGATTTAAGGGGAGGCACAATTCAGCCGCAAGCGAAGATCCGTGAGGTTCCTGCCACAAGCAAGGTGTGAGCTTCCTGGGGCTGCCATAACAAGGTGCCCTCGCCTGAGAGGCCGATCCCAGAATTTCATTCTCTCACAATTCTGGAGGCCAGACGTCTGAAAGCAAGGGGTCTGCAGGCCCAGGAGCCTTCCGCACCTCCCCTCCCTTCCGCTGGCCCCGGCGATCCTTGGTTTCCTTGGCTTGTAGATGCATCACTCCCATCTCGGCCTCTGTCCGCACCTGCCCTCCCCCCCAGTGGCTGTGTCTGAGTCACCCTCTTCTTATCGGGACGTGTCCTATCGGGCAGAGGGCCCAGCCCGATGCAGGAGGGCCCCGTCGAAGTCTGCTCACTTCTGCAAAGACCCTTTTTCCACACGTAGCTGCTGTGGACGTGAATTTGGGGAAACACTGTTCAAACCAGTACGGGGGGGGGGGGGGGGGGGGTTGCGTTCTGGTGGAAGAGGCTGAACTAGAGGAAGGAAGCCAACGAGATAAACGCAGGTGGGGAAGGATGTGGAGGCCTCACACAGGACCGGGGACGAGGGGATGCGTGACTGCAGGGGGAGCGGGGAAGGCCCTGGAAGCCTCCAGTGGGTCTCTGTGGAGACCCCTCAGCAGAGGAGGAGGAGAGGTGAGGGGTCCCTGGGGTCAGTGTCTGGAGGTTCAGCTTGGGCTGCCCTGCGGCCACCTGCCCACTGGAAAAGGATGGGTGTCTGCCTGGCATCAGCCTCTAGCGGGCGCTGGGCAGAGATGGGGTTTCTGGCTCTTCCCAGCTAACACCTGACCTCTCCCCAGATGTAGGGGGGCCTGCAGACCCCATCGCCCCAACCATCATCATTCCTCCCAAGAACACCAGCGTGGTGGCCGGGACCTCGGAGGTGACCATGGAGTGCGTGGCCAACGCCAGGTGGGCAGTGCCTTCCCCCCCCCCCACTCCCCACCCAGGGGCTGCTCCGAGGAGACCTGTCGGAATTCAGGAAGGCCCTGGGGTGTCATATGAGAACCCGTGAAAGGAGAAAGGGTATTTAGCCCGAAGGAAGGACAGAGGGTGGCCGTGCCAGCTGCTGCCGCAGGCTGTCGGATACAAGCAGGCCGGCTCGTTCTCTGCAGGCCAAGAGGAGAGGTCGGACTCCGGTGGAAGCTAGAGGGCTGCCGGTCTCAGCCCAGGATACTGGGGACGGGGCGGTCCTCTCACGTCCAACCCTCAGAGCAGCCTAGAGACGGGCAGGGGCCTCTGCCCACAACGCCCTCCCTGCAGGCCGGCATGTGCCAGGAGACAGCTCACGTGATGGACTTTGTGGAGGGCAGACCTGTGCTCAGGGGCAATCCAGGCCCCTTCCTAGGCGTGCACAACCCTCACCGTTTTTGTTGTTGTTAATCGTCACCCAAGGATATTTTCTCATTGATTTTTAGAGAGAGTGGAAGGGAGGGGGAGAGACAGAGAGAGAGAAACATCGATGTGAGAGAGACACATGGATTGGTTGCCTCCCGCACGTGCCCCAGCTGGGGCTTGGGATCAAGCCTGCAACGCAGGTATGTGCCCTTGACCTGAATCAGTCACTGAGCCAACCAGCTAGGGCCAGGACACAGGAAACACTTCCATCCTGTGTGTGGTGCCGTGTTGCCTGTGTGTGGTGCCGTGTTGACTGTGTGTGGTGCCATGTTGACTGTGTGTGGTTCCGTGTTGACTGCGTGTGGTGCCGTGTTGACTGTGTGTGGTGCCGTGTTGCCTGCGTGTGGTGCCGTGTTGCCTGCCTTCCCACACAGCCTTTTTCTCCCCAACAACAACTCCCCAGCAGAGATGGCACTACTCCAGGGCTCAGAGAAAGCAAGCCACCCACCCGAGGTCACACAGCTGCCAAGAGCAGAATGCGCAAGAGAACAGGCCACCCTGAGGCCCGTGCTCACGGCCCTGCTCTGGGCCTCGGCCTCCTGGGCTGTGACACGGGAAGGTCCGAGCACCTGCCTCGGTGGTCAGGCCCGGGGGCCGGGTGCTGGCCCAGCCTGCCCTGACTCCTGGTTCCTGCTCCCAAGGGAGGAGGGAAGTGATGGGTGGGGGGAGACCAGTGACCCTGAGGTCACCCCGGCGGAGCCCCCAGAGAGCACATCCCTGTATGTAGAGTGTTTCTGCGAGTCCGCCCCTCGGGGCCCAGGTGTCTCACGGGTGTGGGCAAGGCCACCAGGTGCAGCCGAGCGCCTGAAGGCTGTGGAGTAACAACGATGCAGGAGACCCGCGGTGAGGAGCCTGCCTCACGGCACTCACGCCACTGTTGCCCAAACCTACTCGGCCACGGAACCCCTCTCTCATGGACCCTCTGAACACCCTGTGGAACTAACACAGACACCCCCTTCCCCCGGCAGATTGGCCTTGGGGGATCTGCCAGGTGCCAAACAGGAGAGCCGGGCAAACCCAGTCTCAGGGAGCCTTGGGGGTGCCGGGGGGGGGGGGGAGGGCTCGGCTCCCATCCTCACCCCATCGAAGTTGGGGGATGGGTACATCCATCCACCTGCCTTTGTCTCCCCATCTCCACACTTTGGGTGCCTCCCTCGTGTTCCTCCTCGGCACGTTCCCTCGCCTGTAGCCATCCCCTGTCCGTCCGCTGAGTTACATTCGGGGCCTGGTGCACGGGGAGGGCAGAGGAGAAGGGTTCCCCGTGAAGGAAGCTTCCAGCTCTCGGAGCCCCGGACACTGAGTTATTCCCGGGCGGGGCCTGTTCCGAGGGCTGCCGCTGCGTTCATGCATCCACCTTCACCCCAGCCCCGCTGAGCATGGCTGCCCCATTCTACAGATGAGGAAACTGAGGCCCAGAGCACTGAAGGAACTTGCCTAAGGGCTTAGAAAATGCCAGGAGGCTGGGCAAACCCAGGCGGCCTGGCCCTGGGCCTCACTCCTCGCCCCTGCCTGCCCTCCGGCCTCCGGAAGTCCCTGTGGCTGAGTGCCTGCTCCCTGCCCCGCTCCAGGCCCCTGATCAAGCTGCACATCCTTTGGAAGAAGGATGGGGTGCTGCTGTCAGGCGGTATCAGCGACTACAACCGCCGGCTCACCATCCCCAACCCCACGGGCAGCGACGCTGGCTTCTACGAGTGCGAGGCCGTGCTCCGCAGCAGCAGCGTCCCCTCCGTTGTCCGTGGAGCCTACCTGTCTGTGCTGGGTGAGACGGGGCGGGGCTGCTGGGGGGTCCCAAAAGGGTAGGGGCAGCATGGTTATATCCTAAGGAGCATGGCTCTGATCCCCTCCCCTGTCTTTCTTCCTGCAGAACCACCTCAGTTTGTCAAGGAGCCAGAGAGACACATCACAGCAGAGATGGAGAAAGTGGTGGACATTCCCTGTCGAGCCAAAGGTAACGCGGCGGGCGGCGTGGATGAAGGGGGACAAGGACCCCCGAACCTTCAGCCCCTCCTGTCTCTGGCACGGACTTTTCTCAGCTCCACCTCCTTCTCCAGGCACCATCATGGAGAAGAGAGTCAGTCTGGCTGTACGCAGACACCCCCGGGGAAACAAACAGGCCAAATTACCGTCATCTCGGGCCTGGGAATCAACCTAGGTTATCATAACTTGAGGGTTACAAATGAACCCAAATTACTGTGATTTCAGAATAGGTGACAGGCCCAAATTGCCCATAATTAGAGAGTTGTCGACACTGCCCAGTTCCCGGCATGTCAGAACTAGGAGAACGTGGGTGCATCTCGCCCTACATGTGCCTCGGAAGGTCCGCCTGGTTTCTGGGTTATGTTGTTCCCTCCCCCCTTCCCCCCCCCCATTTCTACTTGACCCCCCTGTCAGAGCTCCCGGAGAATTTCTGCTTTTCCCATCCCCACCCTCCCTCCTTCTGGGGCAGCTGAGCCAAAACACAGCCCAAAACCAGGATGAACTCGGACGGGCGGTGGGATGTGACCTAATAATGAGCAGAGAGGCAGGATGTAGCTCAGGCAGGCAGAGAGTGATGGGGAGGGGAGACCCACCTGGGGGAGGCGAGATTCATGCGTTCAATCAACAACCATTTTTTCCGACGGCTCGCCCTGTGCTGAACGCTGTCCCCGGGGCTGGGGAAGATACAGGAGGGACCGAACAGCCAGGGCCCTGCTGTAGGAAACTGACATTCCTGTGAGGCGGACAGACAATCCAGTAAACAAAGATGCCTCATTTCCTTTCATCCAAAATGCCAGGGGTCGTAAGACGCGCCATTATTTTATGTACCACTAAGGAAGGAAAAAGACCGCCAATTAAATTATGACGTGCTGTCGACGGGAGACGGCCTGCTCTCGCAGACGTTACAGTGTGAAGGAACGTGCATCGTTGAGTGGATGCAATACGGGGCCATGGAATGTCGGGGTGCAAAGCGCTAGCGAGGAAACGCAGGCGGGCTTTGGGGGCACGGAGCCAGGGTGCACTTTTGAACGGGCATGGGGAGCTCTCTAGGAAAGTTACATTTGAGCAGAGAGTCCCGGAGGGAGAGTAGGGAGGGTTGGGGGTACCTGCGGGAAGGCTGAGAGACAAGGGGAGCCCCCCTTCACTCCGCTGTGCAGACCATGTACGGGGGCTTCTGGGGATCCCTGAGGAGTCCTGGTCCCCTCCGCGTGCTCCTTGGAGTGGGCTCTGTGGTCGCGTGGGGTTGGGGGACCCACTCCCAGCAGGAGGTTCCCCGAACGCACAAGAATCTCTGCTAAATGTTGCAGGAAAAAATGTCTCGTTTGGCCAATCCAGCATCCCCAAGCTAAACGAATCCGGGACATTTAAAATTGTCTTGAAGCACCTGCTCTCTAAGAATTTGAGATCATCCTCCCCCTCTCCCAGGGCGAGTCGTGCCCGTCTGAGAAGATTCTAGAAACCAGGTCACCCAGGAACTTGCTCACAGACTCCGGGCCTCCACTGTGCACCCCTCAGGTGGGAGTGAGGGAGGGAGGCTGGCGGCTGACAAGGGTCCCCCTCTCCCCAGGTGTGCCCCCGCCCTCCATCACCTGGTACAAGGACGCAGCCGTGGTGGAGGTGGCGAGGCTCAACCGCTTCCGGCAGCGCGGGGACGGGGGCCTGCAGATCAGCGGGCTGGTGCCCGACGACACGGGCATGTTCCAGTGCTTCGCCCGCAACTCCGCCGGCGAGGTGCAGACGTCCACCTACCTGGCCGTCACCAGTAAGTCCCTTCCGTCCTGCCCGGAGCCCCTCCCAGCCAGGACCAGCTCTGCTCCGAGCCAGGGCCCCTGGAGAACAGAGACAGGACCCCAGAGCACATCCCAGGCAGTAGCCAGGGTGGGGTGAGGGGGGGGCACAAGCCACTTACACCCACTGCTCCCGCAGCCCTGCGTCCAGTGCCCGGAGGAGGCCTCGGTCCCCATGCACCCTCCCAATGTCCTGGCCGAGGACCGGCTCTGAGGGGCTCGGGCATCCCAGCTGCCCCGGTTCCCTCCCTGCAGGCTGACGCGGCCCGTCCCCGACCAGCCGACCTGTTCACTTCTCCAAAGAGGAGAACCAGCACTTTATTTATATATATATTGGTTTCAGAGAGGAAGGGAGAGGGAGAGAGAGAAACATCAGTGATGAGAGAGAATCATTGATCTGCTGCCTCCTGCTCGCCCCACACTGGGGATCAAGCCCACAACCCGGGCATGTGCTCTGACCGGGAATCAAACCGTGACCTCCTGGTTCATAGGTCGATGCCCAACCACGGAGCCATGCCGGCCAGGCAAGAGCCAGCACTTTAACCTCAGCTCCCCGACTCGCCAATCCCGTCCCCCGGGAGTCGCTTTGGGGTGATAGTAGTGGCCCTGCCCCCTGAGTGGAGCTGCCTTAGCCCTCGGGTGGCACTGAGAGTGGCCTGCAGATGCCATATCTGCTGGGCCCTCATCTCCGCACCAGGGCTGGTCACCAGGCCCACAGAGAGGAGCTGGGTCGCCCCCAAGGCGGGATGGGCAGGAGGGCTGCCACCGAGCCTGCAGCTTCTATGAGCCCGGCCGGGGCTGGTCCGTGTTGGAGCCCTGCACCCACACCCGCCTGGGCAGGGTGTTCCGCGGGGGCCAAGGTCAGGGAAGGGGACAGAAAGCGTCTGCTCTGACGTTGAGGAGGCAGGGCCCACCCAGGCTGCTGGGCTCGGTGGCCGGCCTCTCCGACAGTGGACGTGTCTGATCGGCCATAACTGTTCTCTGTTTTAAGAAACCAGAGTCTCAATGTCATGTTCGATGATGGTGAATCCATTTACCTGGTCATGGGGCTGTGAACTGCTCTTGGGAGTCCTCAGTTTCCCCCACAGGGAGGCGTGAGAAGCAAGGCAGGGTGGGAACTGGCATCACCTGGGTCCTTCCGCGGGGTGGGTGACGTGGGGAGCCCTCGAGGGTCCTCCCGGCTCCTTCCCGTTGCTGCCACCCCGTGAGGCCCCTGCAGCTTTCCCCCACGGGGGGAGAGAAGCCCACACCAGGGGGGGCCCTCCCAGCTGCAGCTGAGCGGCCCCGCTGTCTCCCTTCGCAGGCATCGCCCCCAACATCACCAGGGGCCCCCTGGACAGCACAGTGATTGACGGCATGTCCGTGGTGCTGGCCTGTGAGACGTCGGGGGCCCCGCGGCCGGCCATCACCTGGCAGAAAGGTAGATGAGACTGGTCTGCTTTGGGGGGGCCGGGAGCGGGCATGGCAGTCCTCAGAGCCAGTCTGGAGCCAGCAGGTTGGGGGGGTGTCCCAGGTACAGTTGTGAAGGTCCCGCGGCACAACTCAGGGGGGCGCCTGTCACACCCCGGTGAGTGCCCGCCACCCGCCACCCGCCAGGCTCAAGGCACACTCGGCGTCTTCCGAGACCTGTGGCCTTGGGCGAGCTGTTCAGGCCCCCTGACCTCAGGTCCCCTCCGTAATGGGGACAGTGTGCTTCGGGGTTGATGCTCCCTGGTTGGTGTTCTGTGGGTGTTCGTGCAGGTAGGAGGGCTCCGGACGCCTGAGCCAGCAGATCCCAGCCGCCCACCTAAGTCCACCCACTCTGTGTGCCTCCTGTCCCCTCTGTGTCTCACACTCCCCTTCACAGCTCTCCCTTGTACACACATGTACACACATGTACACACACATACCTCCAAGCCTCGGCTCAGAGGCACCTTCCCCACGGGACACGCCCACCCCCCATGCCCCAGGCCCTCCTCACGGCCCGCCCGCCTTAATCCCTGGCGTCTAATACACACCATCACTTACTTTGCTTATTGCCACCTCCCTGCGAAGGCAGGGCTGTCAGCTGTGTCCACTGCTGTCTCCCTGGAGCCTAGAGCAGAGTCTGGCACATAGTAGGTGCTCAGTCAATATGTGTGGGATGAAAGTCACCGCACCCAGGCATGTGCCTAGACACGGAACTGGACACACACACCTAACACGCTCGCTAGTTTAGTGTGTCTGCACACGTGTGCAAACAGACACACCTACCCGCAGGCCTGCCTGGAGAATCTCCCCCTATACAGACAGGTGGGTGTTTTTTTTAAATAGAGACAGCCACGAAAACCTGCCCTCCCAGGCTCGCTCACACACAGCACATCCTCTCTCTTTCTCTCTCTCTCTCTCTCTCCCTCTCTCTCTCTCTCTCTGTCTCTCTCTGACTCCAGGCGCCAGGCCTCCCTAGGTCCCCCTGCACAGGGAGGGCTGTCCCCGTCCCTCTCCATCCCCCACCCCCACTCCTGGCTGCTCCTACCCACCCACCAGGTTCCTCCGCTCCCCCAAGGTGACTCTCCAGCAGCATCCTCCGCAGGATGCCTGTCACCACCTCCTCAGAGCTGTCTGCCCCTCCCCCGCCCCCGCCCAGGTGCCAGCTGCCTCGGAGACAGTCCCTGGCCTGCCCTGGTGAAGGGCAGACAGTGTGGTGGGCGAGAGGCGTCAGGAGACCTGGGCTCCCGGCTGCCGGCCGGCTCTGTGACCCTGTGCCCTGGGCTGTCACCAGTCAGGAGCCTCACCGCCCCGCAGCCCGGTCACCACCCCAGTCCCAGCCTTTCTAAAGCTGGGAGCCTGCCTGACCCCCTCCCCCCCTCTCCCAGGGCAGTCCAGGAGGGAGGAGTGGGGGGTGCGGTCTGGGCTGCCGCCTGAGCCCACCCCATGCTGCCCGCAGGGGAGCGCATCCTGGCCAGCGGCTCCGTCCAGCTGCCTCGCTTCACGCTCCTGGAGTCGGGCAGCCTGCTCGTCAGCCCCGCGCGCATCTCGGACGCCGGGACCTACACCTGCCTGGCCACCAACTCTCGGGGGGTGGACGAAGCCTCTGCGGACCTGGTCGTGTGGGGTGAGTGTGCGGAGCGATACACGTCTGTGCGTGAGTGTGCGCCCAGCCCCGCCAGCCCCGCAGAGCACACGCTCACACCACCGGCACCTCCACGTGCCCGCGTCTGTCCGGCCTGGGCGCTTCTTACAAGAGGGACTCACACTCATTCATTCGGAGGAGAGGGACCAGGAAGCCAGGCTCCGATGCCGCGGGATCGAGGGCTACGCCGAGCTTGGCCGAGTAGAGAGAACGCGGCGGTGCCGGGCAGCTGTCTTCATGCGCTTTAGGCAAAAACCAGCCAACGTTTTCTGTGACCGGCTGGAGTGTAAATACTTCAGGCTTGTGGGCCAGACGGTCGCAACTCCTCAACTAACGCTTCGGTTTCATCGGGAAAGTACCATGGCCGCTACTTAATCCATGGCCGTGGCTGGGGTCCCGCCCACGTGTGCTCACCCAGACAGCCCCTGGACGTGACCCCAGACTGTCGTTAGCTGACCCCTGCTCTAAGGAAACTTCCCAAGTCCTTTCCAACGCTCTGCCTGCACCCCCACACCGGGGGTCCGCACCCGAGACAGACACACCTGTGGGGCTCCTGAGCGGCGTGGTGGCCCAGTGAGCAGCGCATTAGGGCAGAAAGCAGTTGATCCTACGTTTGCTTTGCCTGGACTGCTCTGCCTGCACCCCCACACCGGGGGTCCGAACCCGAGACAGACACACCTGTGGGGCTCCTGAGCGGGCTGCATGGTGGTGGCCCAGTGAGCAGCGCATTAGGGCAGAAAGCAGTTGATCCTACGTTTGCTTTGCCTGGACCACTCATGTGCTGGGAAGAGGACGCTGACCATCCCCAGATTTCTGGTGTTTTATCCCGCGCACGCTGTGTGGGAGCACCGCTAAATGAGCCCCCACTATGCATGTGGCTCCCGAGATTCCAGGTCCCAGGGAAGCACGGTGCCCTTTTTAACGTTCGGGGACCCTCGCTATGGTCTTCCTGTCCACCTGTTGGTCTGCCTTCACCCCCGCCCCCCAGAGTCCAGCCACGCAGTCTGGTTCGCCTGCCGACACCTTCCCAACTCCTGCCTCTCGCCTGTGACTCTGGCGCCCACCCCTCCTCTCACCGCCGACCCCCTGCTCTCTTTCAGCCCGGACCCGCATCACCAGGCCGCCCCAGGACCAGAGTGTCATCAAGGGCACCCAGGCCTCCATGGTGTGCGGCGTGGCCCACGACCCCCGGGTGACCATCAGGTACTCCCTCTGCTGTGGCCCCAGGGAGGCAAAGGGGAGGGCGGCTTTGAGGGTGGCTGGTAGCTGGGCGAGTGTCTGCACCAAGGAGGTGAGTATTGCCCGTGGGGCCACAGAGCATCCTTTGGGGGGGGGGAATTTACAGACCTGGTGCAGGGCTGGGGTGTAGGGGGCGCTGCGTAAATGCTTAGGGAGCAGAATGAGCTGAAACTGAACTGGGCCATGTCAGAGGGAGAGGGAGAGAGGAAGGGGTGTGGGGAAATGGAGGAAGGAGGAGGGAAGAAGGGGGGAGGAAGGGGCATTGGGCTGCTGGCTCTCCCAGACCCTCCGCCCGCTAAGTGGACAGCAGAGGGTCTGGGTGAGCAGGTGTGGGAGAAGGGACAGGGCCGGGCCAGGAGAGGTCCTGGGACACACACGGGAGGGGCAAGTGCCCAAACCGAGTCACCCCCACCATTCACCTGGGCCACGAGTTACGTGGCCTGGAGGCAACCAGCGCCCCCTGTGGAACCCTCTGGAGAGGCCCAGGAGGGGCAGCTCGCGACAGAAGCAGCCAAGAAAGGCTGAAAATCTGGGACCCACCTCCCCAAGTTTGGGGTGAAGACCCCTGGGGGCCAACCCAAGGGAAGGCTTTGGGAACTAAAACCAGGAGAAACTGTCCCTTTGTGATGCTAAGGAGAAGTTTTAACTGCTTCCTTGGAAGTAACTGTTCCCTCCGTGTGGCTTCTGTATTGTATGGGCAATACCACTGGGCATGGAGGGCCCGGCACTGATGCCTCCTGGAGTAACAACCCTGACACTCCAGAGGCAACTGCATCCTGGGGCGCCATCTGGTGGCCACTCTGCATATGACAGTCTGTCCGGCCACCCCGTAGGGACCCTGGAAGCCAAGGTTGGCATAAGGGCTACTAGACTCTGAGACCAAAACCTACTCTCCGAGGATCCATCTCGGGGCCCCAGTTTGAGAAACAGCTCCTTTAACTTCCAACATTGACCCTTGGGGACCGTCGCCGTGTGGTGCGAGCGCCAATGCCAAAAGGAGCCTGGAAATCACATAGATGTGGTTGGAACGTTGTCCACAGACAATCCCGAACCCTCGACACGGCGTGCCTTCCAGGAGCTGGCCGCCCACGCGTGCTCATGGCAGCGACGGTTGTCTGTCCCCAAGAACCATTCCAGAGGAGAGACGTCTTACTGTCAGACACGGGCATGTGGGCCATTTCTCAAGTCCCCCTTCGTGCCGACCGGCCGAAGCGAACGTGATGTTTTGGACACGGAGGTCATTTTGTCACAGTGACGCGTGGCTCTCAGGATTCTCATACAACTAATTGCACAGCGTAGCCTGGGCGGAGGTTCCATGCTCTGTCCAGCGGTGACCTCGTCACCTCGTGGGGAGAAGACCTTTCTGCCGGCTCTTTGCTGCCGGCCCCTGGGCAGTGACTTCCGTCTAAAAGCAGCCAGGCTTGGCCCTGGACCTGAACCGAAGGTGAATGACCGATAATGACTTAATGTGCTGACCCTCCTGGACGGACGCGCACCCTCCCGCAGGGATGATGGACAGCAGGCTGCTCTGGCTGCCGCTGCACCCTTCCCGGAGACCAGCCCCAGAGACCGGTGGCGGCCCGGGGCCTGTCCCCGACCCACCTGCTCTCCTGCAGACCAGCCTGGGCTGAGCACACCCCTAAGAGCACCCCCACTTCCCTATCTCTCTTTTTTTAAATATATTTTTACGTTTTATATTAAATCAAATATATTTGATTTCAGAGAGGAAGGGAGAGGGAGAGAGAGAGAAGCATCAGTGATGAGAGAGAATCACTGATGGGCTGCCTCCTGCATGCCCCACATTGGGGATCGAGCCCACAACCAGAGCATGTGCCCTGTCCGGGAATTGAACCGTGACCTGGTTCCTAGGTCAACGCTCAACCACTGAGCCACGCCGGCCGGCCCTTCTCTACGTCTCTGTACCTATTGGTTCTTCTCTCTCTTAGGTACGTGTGGGAGAAGGACGGGGCCGCCCTGGGCGTGGAGAACAACCCCCGTGTCCGCCTGGACAAGAACGGCTCCCTGCACATCACCCAGACGTGGTCGGGGGACATCGGCACCTACACCTGCCGGGTGCTCTCCGCTGGAGGCAACGACTCGCGCAGCGCCCACCTGCGGGTCAGGTAGGGCCACCCGCCCAGGCCCGAGCCCAGAGGTGTCAGCAGCACCGAGAAGGCTCCTTTTGGCAGGCCACCAGGTGGCCTGGGGCCACAGCCCTTCTCGCAGGACACGCCCAAGCATCCCTCCAGGCTGGGCCCCCTGCAAGAGCAGGGGAGTCTGGGTCCGGCTTTGGACAGGTGGGCTCCGGGCCCCAGAGGAGACTCTGCAGGTCGATGGCCCAAAGGCCACGTTTCGTGGCCGAGCACGAGGTATCGGGAGTTCTATCCGAGTCCCGGCCGCCCACGTAGACCTCACCTGACTGTAGACCTCACCAGTGACTCCGCCACATCTCTCTCCCCAGGCAGCTGCCTCACGCGCCCGAGCACCCAGTGGCCACACTGAGCACCTCCGAGAGGCGGGCCATCAACCTGACCTGGGCCAAGCCCTTCGACGGCAACAGCCCCCTGATCCGCTACGTCCTGGAGATGTCGGAGAACAGTAAGGCTCCCTCCGCACCGCAGCCAGGGCGGGCGGGGCTCAGCCATGGGGGTTCCAGTGCCCACTTCCCAGGCCTCTGCCTCAGGGCAGACCCTTCCCTCTGGAGCCTCGGCCACCTCGGCCGTCACATGACCAAATCGGCTGTCACATGACCGAATGGCTCCCTGGGGTCATTGTGACAATTGAACAAGATACTCACAAGGCACAGGACATAGGGCCTGCCGCACCAGGAGCCTCCGAAACGGTGGCGATTCTTTCTCTTTTTCTCCTCCTCGCTGTGGACTCCAGAATTAGCATGCATAATTTAAATGCGTTTTAAATAAGTGTGCCCAGAGCTCATCGATCTGAGGGGGAAAAAGATGGAAAAGATGGATGCAACTCAGTTCCCCTGATGGCTGCTTCCTCCCAGCGGCCTCCAACTCCCTCCCTCACTCCTCCCCCCACCCAGCCAAGG